CATCATGGCATGCCAGCTCAGCCAAATAACCGCATCAAGCAATATATGGAAAGATAAAAGTGTAAATTTGTATATTAAATTAATTGTTATCTTGCAGTAAAAGGATGGCAATAGTAGACAAAAACCTGTAATTTCAATCAAAGATCAAAAATATGTAGGCATACTAGGATGGTGTTTTGTTTTTTTTTTTTAATTGAAATTACACTAGAAAATTTATGTAAAAAAGGCAAGTAGCACATTACTCACATCAATAGCTTTTCGGAGCTTTTCTGCCTCCTCGGCCTGTTTTTTATCCCAGTCATCTTTTATTTTTTTGTTTATCGCCAAGATTTGCCGTCCAACATCTGACGTAACAACAAATCGCCGTCTTGCCTTTTCGCTATCAACCCTCTTAAAACATTTAAATGATAAGTCACAAAGGAGATACTACAAGGATAAAGAGAAGAGGAAACAAGTAGATAAGATCCACCTGCTTTGCCAACTTTATCAAGTAACTTAATAACCCACGCAAACGCTCTTCTACACACTGATGAAAAGGTATGATTTTAGGCACCAAAATAATCAAGAAATAGGCGCAAAGAACTCTTCTAATTAGTTAATATGTTGTCTAACCAGAGACAAGCATCGCTCCACATCACCACCAATGCTCTTTAAACCATGTTTGGATGCTGCAAGGGAATCAAGAAATCAAATTAATGTTTTGATTCGTAGTAAAAGAATTTTAATAATAGAAAAAATAATAATCATGTTTTAACAAGTAACTGATTTCTGCTAGCTTTTTCTGAAGAGAACCCCTCAAGAGAATTAATCTTTCTTCTTCCTCCTGCACAACTCTTCGACTTGCTTCAGAAGCCCGGCTCTCCTCTTTAGGAGCACACAATAGCTGCTCCTCTTCCTCCTACAAAAAAGTAAAATACAGAATTACACACTTGACTCCCAGTGCTACCAAATGCAAACAATGCAGTAAGGACGCACATGCCTTCAGTAAAAACACCATACTCAGATATCAATAAAATGGGAACAATGAAGTACATAATGAAGCAAAGCACCATACCCTAAGATTAACACCACTGACGGCTGTAACATCATTTAGCTGATCGATGCTCTGATCATGGAATGCCCCAGAAGTCTTCTGCTTTTTACTTCAAGGTAGGAAAAAATATGATTAGCATTGTGTAAATCAAATACTTCAACAAAAGTATAATGCTAACCTCGATGGAGGTGAAGTGCCTGGAGCTTCCAATGGCTTTTTGTGCCCAGCAGACGTTTTTTTCTGGGGAGTTTTTGTTGCATTCCCCGAAACAAGCAATGGCGTTGCAGATGAAATCTGGCATGGAAAATATTAGCATAACGCCATCAAAGGAAGCATTTAAGGTTGAAAAATGTGGAGATTTCACATCCGACATCTAACTAAGCAAGATGACTCGGTAATGAAGGTACATCACTCTTTTGACAATCTGCATAAAAACCATTACAAAAGGCCACTAGTGTAAAATACCATACAACCAAGGAGTTGAGATACATCTTCCCTAGAGAGCCATAACAATATGCAGCTAAAATTTAAGTGTTGTGCATGCAAGTTTACATCATATTTAAAAGCTATTTTAGAGCAACAGATAACTTAATTGAAAATTTTTTATGGTGCCCACAATAACCTTAACGCTTGAGGCAAGGCTTGGTTAATTACTTTAATGAGCATGCAAAGGCAACATGAAAACATAAGTCCTCTAGCCAAACTAAAACTTAGGTAGGGCTCCCGTTCATATATTTCAAACACTGCAGCACTAATACAGCTACAACTTCTGTGTAAACTGTGTCATAAGGCAACAACCACACAGGCTATGGATGAACATTTTCACTTTCACAAGATAAAAAGTTAAAAACTACCCCATTAGTTGCTACATTAGGCATGCATCAACTTGTTGACTTTACCAAAATCGGCTCTACAACCACAACAACAACAACAAGCTTTTATCCCAATTCGTGGGGTCTAACTATATAAATCATTTTTTCTCTATTATGTCTTACTAAGAGTCAA